CGAAAAGATCATTGCTGAACAGCTCATGGAACACCTGGAAAACCACAATCTTATTTCCAACAGACAGTTTGGTTTTCGTTCCTCCTGATCGACTGCTGACCTTCTACTACTAAGTAAAAACTGGCACACTTGACCGAGTGTGGCACCGAGGGCTCCTCGTTAAACTACAAACAAGGGGCATAAGCAGCAACCTTTTGCGGCTCTTTGGTGATTATCTCACTGGAAGAACACTGCAAGTAGTCATCGGTGGCCAGTCATCGCACAAGTACCCGATACAGGCGTCGGTACCACAGGGATCTGTACTTGGGCCAGTCCTATGGAACATCTACAGAGATGATTTGCTTAGGGAACATCCCGAAATCTCAGCGTATGCTTACGACTGTACCATTTCTATTTCATATCTACGTAATGATCATGACACTGTAGCAATGGACATGACTGGGGATCACAATGGCAAGTGAGTTTTGCCGCCAACAAGACCCAGGCAATGGCTGTGTCCCGCTCTCCGGCTGCATCAGACGTCATGAAGGACAAGATCGTGATGAACACCGCCCTTCCACTTGAGGACTTTATTTCAATCCTCGGTGTGGACATCGACAATGAGCTCAGATTTAACAGACACGTCAGTAGGATCTGTAAAACAGCTTCTCTGAAGGTGACAGCTCTCCGACGTATAACCCACCTCCTGAGTCCTCAAGGAATTCTGATGCTGTACAAGTCCCAGATCAGACCACATTTAGAATATGCCTCGTTGGCCTGGTCTTCTACTGTGCCCACCAACCTCAACAGGCTGGATAAAATAGAAGAACGGGCTCTCAGGCTTATCCAGGAAGCCAGCAACCCTGGTCACATTGACTCGCTCTAACGGTGCTCCACAAGGCTCAGGTGCAGCAGGTGCCTCATCTATCCAGCCTCAGTCTCCCACCGCACGGCCGAGAGAGAAGTACGAGGACGGTATACTCCAATCAGCTTCTGGTGGAAGTTCAGCGAACCTTCTCAGCCAGAGCAGCACGACTGTGGAATGAATTCACATCCACCACCGATGTCGCCGAAATGACCACGCAGCAAGTGAAGACAGCGGCACATCGATGGTGGTCGAGAAAACCGTCACCTCTTTACCTCCTGTACACTCATGGCGACACTTAAGGCAACACTGTACATAATCTTGTACTTTAATTCCTTTTTATTTGTTTAATTTATAAACCTGGTTATTATTTACAAAAATAGGTTGGGTTTTCAAATAAGCTCCTTTAGATAGGTAACTTTTAACCCGCAAAAAGAAACCTGTAAGTTCTAAATAAACTGGTTTCAACCTATACATATCTGTATGATGACTATAAATAAAGATGTTAAAAAAAAAAGAAAGAAAAAGAGAGAGAAAAAGAGAGAGAGAGAGAGAGAGAGAGAGAGAGAGAGAGAGAGAGAGAGAGAGAGAGAGAGAGAGAGAAGAGAGAGAGAGAGAGAGAGAGAGAGAGAGAGAGAGAGAAGAGAGAGAGAGAGAGAGAGAGAGAGAAGAGAGAAGAGAGAGAGAGAGGAGAAGAGAGAGAAAAAAAAAGGAGAGAAGAGAGAAAAAGAAGAGGAGAGAGGGAGAGGAGAGAAAGAGGAAGAAGGAAGGAAGGGGAGGGAGGGGAGAAGGGAAAGGAGAGGGAGAGAGAGAGGAAGACGTAAGGAAGGAAGGGGAGGAGAGGAGAGAGAGAGAGGGAGGAGGGAGAGAGGGATTGAAGGAGGGTGGTGGAGAACATCAGCACTGTTGAACATAGGTACCCTAGGCAGTCAGGAACATCAGTACTGGGAATCTTGGGTATCAGGGAACTTGGAGATGCCCTATTGTCAAAGACAGGTGAGATGTAACCTCTCTTGCCATTTCTCGACCCTTCTTACTGCCAGCAAGAGTGGCCACGCCACCTCTCACCTCTTTACCAGTAACCGACAACAATATAAGCCCTCTCATTACAGAACTATTTCAATATGCATTTATCTTATTTTAAATTATGTGCTTCGTGGCATGTGTTTGATTTATCCCCTAGCCTTGTCTGACTCAAAATTATGTAAATGACCATAGTTTACAGAGAGACAAACTAAAGATTCAACAAACCTTCTCCCTGTTGGTCTTTGTCTTGAGGTGAAAAGGAATCTTCGAAACCAATGCCAGCCGCTGGTGTGGTGTCCCTTGTTGAGCCCCAGGGATCCATGTCTTGCACCTGAATACCAGAAAATAACATTAACTGAGGTGTAAACTGTCTAACCATCATATGACTTGTACCAAGAGTCAGCATAAGGACATATTGTAAAGTATACAAGGATTGGAATCATAATAGTGAAAAGATCATAAAAAAGAAAATGTGCGGAGCATCCAGATATCGGTCTTTCAGAAACATCCCTATGGCTTAGTTCAACAACCTCTTGTCATTTTCTTAATGTTGTGCAATTCAATAGAAATGCCTAAAATAAGTTCTGTAACCTGTACATTTACTGCTGGCCATTTAGAATTCTCTCATTATTGCTGCAATGTATAGAAGTATGTGCTTATTCACAATTTTTGTTCAATAAGGCAAAATTAATATTCAGTGTTTGCTTTTAGCTTGTGAAGGATTTTTTAAAATTCATTTGGATATAGATGTAGGAAGGGGGTGCATGAAGGCAAAGCCCAGCTTCTAGAAAGGGTAAGGTGAAAAAAGTGTAACAACCACCAATCTATGATAAGGGCAATTCAGAAAAAGAAAGCAAAAAAGAAAAAGAAAGCAATTCCAGCATCACAGGATGCTGGGAATTAGATAATGCATGTAAATGGTCATCATTTTCTATTTCAAATACAACTAAAATGGGATGGAATAATGAACTTGAACACTAAAATAATCTTATATAATTAACATATTCAAAATTTGCTCATTAGCCAAGACCCTCTGCCAATCTTCATTTGATCACATGAAATTAATATAGCATTTTAGGAATGTAAGTTGAAAAATCAAATATGTATCATATTCTGGTTGGAGGCACGAATAACTGAAAATAAAGCTTATTCATTATTGCTTACCTTTTTGGCAAATCTACATCAATTAAAAACAAAAAAGAAAGTTATAAAGAGCACAACAGGCATTTATCCTATAGCCAAATATATTGCCATATTGCTACAAATTGAAAAAAAAAAAACTACAATAATGGACTGAGTGCCCAGGGGAGGGATAATGCTCATGAGAACAGCTATTTGGCAAGGAACAATGCCAATTATCTCAACACTTCACCTGCTATACTGCTTAAAAATAATGAATATCTTATATTGCTGGAAGCAGATAAGTTTTAGGCTGTCATTATTAACTGTTCACTCTTTCAGGGTGGCTGCTAACTAAGCCAATGGTTCTCAAACTGGGTGTCATGTACCCTGGGGTGCTGCAAGTCATAACAGTAAAGTATATTTTGTATTCATATTTTAAGTTTCCCTCATTCTTCTGGTAAGTTTTATGTATGTTATTTAAACATGTAATCTGTACTTATTTTGTTTTAAGCTCTAGTACTTTGTGGAAAAGGCAAAGATACACTTTCTTGTAAAGATAAATTTGTGTGATGGAGGGGGGGGATACAGAAGAAAGTGCTACAGAAAGTGTGCTTTGCACTAATGTACAGAACCCTATGCTTTTATCGAACTAAGACTGAGAAAGGACTATGTGAATTTAGGGTGCCATCACTGAGAAGAGTTAGGGAACCATTGCTCAATGCATATCAACATCTTTCAGCATTTGGTCTGTTTTATCAGTTATATAATAATCCTGGGTATGTACCACTAATACAAACCATATTTTGATGCCTATTGTGCTCTTTGTTTCCTGGCAATTGTTTCTGATAAGTTTATATTTGTTACAGAAGAGAAATAATGGACATGGTGCATCAAATATAATATCTTTAAAAAATTCAACCAGGATGTCCCAATTCTAAAATTTGTCAACACCTTCTCTTAGGTCACTGTGGCTTTAAATAATTTTTAAAATTTTAAATGCCACAATACAAAAAAATACAACAAAAATCTTAAACATGATATGGCACTAATAGCTATAAAAAGAAAGATAGGTACAGATAAGCCCACAATCACTTATCCAAAAATACACTTGCAGTGTCTCAAGCCCTTGTCAAAGCCTTTGGTGCTCCAGCAAAAAACAACAAACTTCTCCCCTGCATACACTGACAAAAGAAAACTTATGCACCATTGAGGTGATCTGCTATGAAATAAGGAAGATAATGCAAAAATCATTCATCATTTTAGAGGTAAACTGTATGTGTATAATTGTCTGATCTTGCTTCTAGGCTAACTAGGGCTTTCATCGTCATAGATGAATCACAGTTACAAATTCAGGAAATATTTACGTCTGCCATTGGCTTTGCACAAATGAATACATTCTTAAAGAATTCCCAAGTGATTTACCATCAAATAATAAGAAACCAGGCCTATTGGTGGTCATTATAGATTGCGAAAAGTTTCATCTGGATTTGGATAGAATACAATTATCATTATCATGAAAAAACACTTTGTCCCTAAAGGCACAGCAGGTGCCATTAAAAACCATACTGCATCATCTACCTTACACACAATGCCTTAGTCTCTATTTTCAAATGGAGCATCAAGGAAAAAATCCATGTATCCATATCGGTATCACTTATGCTTTTTAACATTTCGGGATGTGCACTTCCATCCTCTTGCAATATTTCTTAATATATCTAACTGTAAATAAGTCAAGAGTTAGTAATTATTATACGCTTACATACACATCCAACAAAACCTTGCATTACTTTTGTATATTAGAAGAAATCGCAGGAAGTTCAGTGTTGAAAAATATTCGAATAAAAGAAACCAGTATATCTGTCACTTGCGGAGAAGTTGCTCGTCAAAGGCACATTCTTCCTCTCCCCTTCTTTCACCTTTTGAAGAATTTTGATGTGTTAAAGGCACATACTCTCCCTCACCAGCTGACGCGATCCTCCCCCTCCGTTTGTTTACATCGATGACGTAACAGCCATTCATAAAACAGCGCAGGCAGAGTTCGGACTCGAAGGTGAGGGATCATTTGCATTTATGTCGTATATAGTCTTTGATTATAGTCATCTCTCATCATAACCTGAAACATATCAAGAAGAAACAATCAGCATATGAATCTTACACTTTATTCACTTTTAAACACCAAAACTCGGTCAAAGCATTGAAAAAAAAAAAAAAAAAAAAAAGAAAACAAAACAAAACAAAGAGCCTTACTCTTGTGTCATATTGTTTGCAAATGTAAGAAATGCCAGAGCAACAACCCTGGTTCATGTAAAAGTTCTCAGAAATCTAGAAAAGGTACTCTCACAAAATTTTGGAATTTGTTTACAAGGTACCCATAGTGTTTTTCAAAACGAGTTATTTCTTCTTTTCAGTCATAATTGTATTGAATGTTCTATCCAATTTCACATCCCAATAGCTGGATCTGTCTCAGAGGGCATTCAGCCAGGAGTTTATCATGATATGGTCGAGTGTTGAGTGATTTCGACAGCCACCAATGTCACACTCTGGGAAGGGCTAAAAAACCTTTCACCACACAGTTTGGCAAGACAGATTGTGGATCGGTTCTTTGTATGATATAAGTTGTTAGGAGTCCATCCCTTGCATGCCATTTAGTGGACATGCCCTGTCTTAAACATTTACCATTTATCCTTTTTTGTTGATGGTTTATATACTATATACCTGTATGTGTAAAGGCTGAGGGATGGCCTATTAATGTTATAGCATCCTTCACAGAAAAATATAAAAGGAAATTGCCAAGCAAGCAACCAAAATGTAAGTAATCCTTAGTAAGAGGAACAAAAATTATGAACATTTTATAACAAAACCTCCTCCCAATATCTTGCTCATTCTTATGGGGGGCTTAGGAGATCGAGACTAAACCCCAATGTAGGGATTGCCCCTACCTTAGGCCTCAGCCCTCGCCTCAACTAATTTTGCTTGGTCTTTTCTTCTCCCCCTTTCCTCTTCCGTATCTTCTTCGTTCCCTTCGTCTGTCCCATTTCTAATTTGTGAGAGCTGTGCTTGAAAGAATGAAAGGCAGGCTTTGTGTCTGTCATGAACGACCTCCGGGAGCCATTGGTACAGTATTTGCTTGGTTAATTACTTAGCCTTTACCCCTTATGGGAGCCCTGAGGGGTAGACTGTTTCTTTTCCCCATTTTATTTAGGCTCACCATAGCCAATGATGAAGATTCTTAACCTTTAACAGCAGCATTAAGGCCCCTTCATTAACTAGCCTATCTGAATTTGATTTTGATGGTTTTTCGACCCCTGCCCCTCCTTTGACTATGGCTTCAACCACTGTCACTAATACCCCCTGCTCGAGGTCTACTTACAACCGTATCCATTCCAAACCACCCAATCAAGTTATTACTCAACCTCCAGAATACACCCATTCCTCTCTCTCTACATTCTCTTCTCCATCTCCTACTGCACAGTCTTGTTCAGTGGCTACCCCCTCTTCCCTTATTACTACACTTCACCCCCTTCCCTTATTACTACTCTTCACCCCCTCTTCCCTTATTACTACTCTTCATCCTTATTGTCTTCCCCCCCCACAGAACTACTCAACACAACACCACCCCATCTTCCTCCTACCCTCATCCTTCTACTGCCTCTACCTCTCTTTGGCCCAGCCAAGTGGGATTGATTTTTTGTGATTCCCCCCACAGCCTCATATTTTGAGGATACCCTTCTTTTTTAACAGTGCCTCCAAAAACAAGTAGGTAAAGTTAATTTTTGCAGTCACTCCAATTGTTTACACCTAGCTACATTTACATCAGCATCCCAAGCTTGTGCACTATCTCCCCTAACTGACCCTACTGGCAAGCCTATTCCTGCCAAACCTCACCTCTCTCTTAATCATCATCATATCGTATCACACCAGAATTCTATCTATATCAGTGACCGTTTGTAGGTCAGGTGGACTAATACTGACAGGGCTTCTTGGGCAGTTAAAAAGGATATGGTCCATGTCTTGGATAGAGAACCCGCAATCACACGTAGTGGATGTGGCAAGGCCCCATTTTGTTAAATTATCCCGGATTTTACCAACACCAGATCTGGCACGGTTAAGGGTGCACCATTCTTTCCTACCAAGGTTTGTACCTTTTAGTAGTTTTTCTTTCGGTATTGGTATGGTAGGGTGTTCTGGTCCCAGGTTTTCCTTTTCTCTCCTTTTATGAATTCTGTAATGCCTTGAAGTTATACTGTCAGGCAGCCTTTCAACTATGGTAAAACTTTTCCTAGATCTTAGTCTGGTTGGGGGTGGTATGTGGGAGTAAAGTGGGTGTCGATAGTCCTGCTCTTGCTTGTATTTTTCCACTTTGGTGGTTGTTTCTCTTCTTAGGGCTGGAGGTGGAATACCTGAGAGTCTATGAACGACATTCACTGGTGTAGGTCTCAATGTACCAGTTATCACGCGGCAAGCTTCGTTTAGTACTGGGTCTGTTTTGCTGGCATGTGAGGATCGAGACCACACTGGAGTACAGTATTCTGCTGCAGAAAAGCGCAGAGCCAGGGCAGCTGTCCTTAAGGTCTTAGGGTCTGTGCCCCATCTTGTTCCAGCCAGTTTTTTCACAAGATTAAGGCGTGAAGACACCTTTTTCCGAAGCCTCTCTACATGTGATCTGAATGAGAGCGTTCTGTCAAGGGTTACAACCAGGTAAGTGGGGTGGTCGTCACCTCTCTCTTAATAATTGTACAGGAACTGTTTCTATCCTCCAACTGATTGTCCCATATATGAGGCCAGTGTAGGTCCCATATCAATATTCTTAAGATTAGCTTCTGTAGATATGGCCTCCTCCATGAAGTTTAGATTGGTGGATTGTCCTACCATGTCCTCATCAATGTCAGAAATGCTGGCGTTTTGGCCACCCAGCCAAACACTGTCTCTCCATAGCCCACTGCCCTCTATGTGCCCAACCTGCTCATGACGATTCAGATTGCCGTGGTCAGTCACATACATGTACCAACTGTGGTGACTCCCATAACATATTTTATAGGGGCTGCCCTGCTTATAAGCTTGAATGTGAAGAAGCAGTTCTCAGATTTAAACTAGGACTAGGACAGGAAGAACGATGATAAGGTTTCTCTCTCTCTACCTATTCCAAAACATTTCTTTGCCCTGCATCCTCCTATCTCCACAAGATGTTTCTGCATTTCCCCCAGTATCTCTTCACTCTACACTGAACCATCCTACCTCTAGTCCTTCTATCCCCAGTCAAATCACTTTTCCAGTCTAAATCTACCACTTCTCTAATATCTACCCTTTCTCCCCCTCACTTTACGTGTCTCACCAGACAACCTAAACGTTCTAATCCATCTTTGCCTTCCCCACCCTCTCCTACACCCTCCTATTCCTCTGCTCCACGAACATCTATCCCCCTTCTCCTCCTAACAAGAGATCCTTAGTTTCTTCTCAGACCTCCCTTCTCAAATCCCCTTCAGAAACTCTTGAAGACATCCAAAAATTCCTAGACATGCCCCAAGAAAATGTTCTCCTCCCTCATTCACCCTCTAATCCCTCTATTCCTAGTCCTTCTACCTTCAAGGTAATTGCCAATATCCATCCTCCTAGTCCGTAAGTTCCCCCTAACCCTCTTCCTCCTGTTTCCTAACAAACTCCATCCTCCCCTTCTCCATATATATATATATATAT